ACTCTTGATTTCTCTGTTGGACACTTCAACCTGTCCACTAGTTTGTGGGTGGTAAGGAGTAGCCACCTTGTGGCGTACATCGTACTTAGAAAGCAACTTTTCAAAGGCCCTGTTGCAGAAATGAGTGCCTCCATCACTGATAATTGCTCGTGGTGTCCCAAAGCAGGTGAATATATTCTTCTTTAGAAATCCCACCACCACTTTTGCATCATTAGTGGGTAACGCCGCAGCTTCCACCCATTTGGACATATAGTCTACAACAACAATAATGTACTTATTGCCATAGAAGCTGACGAAGGGACCCATGAAGTCAATCCCCCAGACGTCAAACACTTCCACCTCTTGAATTGGGTTCATGGGCATCTCGTGGTGTCGGGAAATGTTCCCGGTCCACTGACATTCATCGCAGCCCTTCACCCATAGGTGCGCATCTTTAAACATTGTCGGCCAGAAGAATCCAGCCTCTAGCACCTTTGCCGCTGTCCTAACCCCTCTAAAGTGTCCACCATACGCCGATGCATGACAAGCCTACAAAATAGAAAATTGCTCTATCTCGGGGACGCATCTCCGGATCATATTATCAAGGCATATTCTAAACAGATAAGGTTCATCCCAGTAATACTGGCAGCTTTCACGAAAAAAAATTTTCCTTTGGACCGATGAAAGGTCGTGAGGAACTATACCACTGGCTAGGTAATTAGCAAAGTCTGCATACCATGGCGCTTCCTGATGAGTGGTGGCGAGCAGCTGCTCGTCTGGAAAAGTTTCCAGTATTTCCTCAACCTCAACTACATTTTCAGCTCCCTCAAGTCGTGATAGATGATCAACGACTTGATTCTCAGTGCCCTTACGGTCACAAATCTCAAGATCGAACTCTTGCAATAACAACACCCAACGAATCAGGCGTGGCTTAGATTCTTTATTTTTAATTAAGTACCTAAGAGTTGCATGGTCAGTATATACAATCACCTTAGACCCTATCAGGTAGGATCGGAACTTGTCAAGCGCGAACACTACAACCAACATCTCCTTTTCAGTCACAGTGTAGTTCAACTGGGCTCCACTCAACGTTCTACTAGCATAGTAGATTGGGTGCATTAGTTTGTATTTCCGCTGGCCCAGCACTGCTCCCACTGCATAGTCACTGGCATCACATATTAGTTCAAACGGTTGCTCCCAGTTGGGGGCAACTATGATGGGTGTTGTGACCAGTCTCTTTTTCAACTCCTCAAATGCTACCCTGCAATCATCAGAAAACAAAAACGAGTGATCTTTTTCTAACAACTTACAGAGAGGGTTGGCGATTTTGGAGAAGTCTTTTATGAACCTCCGGTAAAAACCGGCATGTCCAAGGAAGCTTCTGATGGCTTTGACTGAAGTTGGTGGAGGCAGCTTTGCTATTACATTAATTTTCGCGCGATCCACCTCTATTCCCTTGCTTGACACCCGGTGCCCCAAGACTATGCCTTCTTGTACCATGAAATGGCACTTCTCCCAGTTCAGAACCAAGTTAGTCTCGATGCACCGTTTCAACACACGCGTCAGATTTATCAGGCACTCATCAAATGAATTCCCCACCACTGAGAAGTCATCCATGAACACCTCCATTATGTCCTCAACCATGTCAGTGAATATGGCCATCATGCACCGTTGGAATGTGGCAGGTGCGTTGCATAGGCCAAAGGGCATCCGTCTAAAGGCATAAATGCCATACGGGCATGTGAAGGAGGTCTTCTCTCTGTCCTCCGGTGCAATGGAGATCTGATTGTACCCTGAGTACCCATCCAGAAAATAGAAGTATGACCTCCCTGCCAATCTGTCCAACATCTGATCAATGAAGGGAAGTGGGAAGTGGTCTTTCCGGGTGGCTAGATTCAACTTTCGATAGTCCATACAAATTCTCCAGCCTGTGACGGTTCTTGTTGAGATCAATTCATTGTTGTAATTTGTCACAACCGTCATGCCACCCTTTTTAGGGACACATTGCACTGGGCTCACCCAGCTGTTGTCATATATTGGGAAAATAATTCCCGCATCCAACCACTTTATCACCTCCTTCTTCATCACTTCCTTCATGTTGGGGTTCAGCCTCCTCTGATGTTCCCTGGAAGGTTTGTGCCCCTCTTCCAGCAGAATTTTGTGCATGCAGTAGGCGGGGCTGATCCCCCTGATGTCTGTCATGGTCCACCCTATGGCAGTTTGCACTCCTTTAGTACCTATAAAAGTTTTTGAACCTGCACATCTAACAAACTAGATAAGATAATAACAGGTAATGTGGAGTCAGGTCCCAGAAATTCATACCTAAGGTGGGTTGGCAATGGCTTTAACTCCAGCTTTGGTGGTTCTTCAATGTATGGCTTAGCTGGAAGAGTTTCTCTCTTTTCTAAGTGCAAGGGCTCAAACTCTAGATTTCTCTCCCATAACCCTCTACCTTCCAATGCCAACACCCATTCCGCCAAATCCTCAACATTCACTTCATCTAAGTTCATCAAACATACAGCAAGGGGGTCCTCAATCGTCAACACCTCATCATCAGACTCTACAATTACATCCACAACATCAATAAGAGAGCAATTGGTGAACTCGCTTGGTCGCCTCACAGACTTCTGCACATTGAACGTTATTTCCTCATCATTGAGTCTCATTTTGAGCTCCCAGTCTCACAGTCAATCAGAGCTATCCCCGTGGCCAAGAATGGTCTTTCTAAGATTATAGGAATCTCTTCATCCACTTTGCAATCCAAGATCACAAAATCTGCAGGGAATACAAATTTCCCCACCTGAATAAGCACATCATCAAGGATACCGAATAGACGCTTCATAGTCTTGTCAGCCAGCTGCAGCAACATGGAGGTGGGTCTAGCTCTCCCAATGCCCAACCTCTTATAGATAGCCAGGGGCATAAGATTAATGTTGGCCCCTAAATCACAGAGCGCCTTAGCAAAGGCGAAATTCCCAATAATGCATAGAATTGTAAAGCTACCTAGATCAGACAGCTTTTCAGCAATAGGTCTCGTCACCACTGCACTACAGGTCTGAGTAAGTGTAACCGTAGCCAAGTCTTGAAAATCTAATTTCTGGGACATCAAGTCCTTTATCATTTTTGCGTACCCATGTATCTCCTTTAAAGCTTCAATCAGTGGAATCTTTACCTGGATTTGTTTGAGCATTTCAAAGAACTTTTTATACTGCTCCTCCTTTTGATGCTTGGCCAGCCTTTGTGGAAAGGGTGCAGGAGGTATCTTCTTCCCAATCACTTGGGACTTCTCTTTATCAGATTCTATTTCAACTACTGGCTCTTCAACTAGCTAAGCTACTTTCTCGGTCTCCTGATGAATGTTCTTTTCTTCCTAAGCAAGTTGGACTGTCACTTCTGTCAGTATCGTAGACTCATCCAGCTCAATGGGCACTGGAATGAATGTCTCAGCCTATATATTTTTTCGAGCTCTCTCTTGTTCTACATCTAGATCCCTGCCATTACGGAGACTCACCGCCATCAGCTACTTTGGGCCCTGATCTTTTGGATTAATCTGGGTGTCTGCAGGTAATGTCCCCTGAGGACAATTGTTCAGAGACATTGAAATTTGGCCCAATTGCACTTCAATATTTTTGATTGTTGCGTCATGTGCATCTACTCTTTAATTTAGTTTTGCATTGGACCCAATAATCTGCTGCATCATTGCTTCAAGTCTCGTGAACCCATCTTCTTGCCTTCCACCATGCTGTTGCTGAGGTGGGGGATACCCTTGCTGCTGATTGTTGTACCCCTGTGGCCTTGGATAAGGTGCCATATTGTTAGAAGATCTCATACCTCCCATGTTTCTAGCGTTGTACTGTGGCTGAGGTGGTCTGTATGGGCTGCTGAGTTTGCTGACCCCAGTTCTGATTGCCCTATCTCTGGCCTCCATAGTTTGACACATAGTTCATGTCTTCAGGGTGCTGATGATGATGATCATGTTCTGCATTCCAAGGATTACCAACTGGCTGACTAATGAAAGATGTGCACAAGCCCCCATTGGTAGTATCTACAATGTACACTTGCTGTTTCTGCCCTGATTCCTCCACCTTTTTGGTGAGTATGCTCATCTGTGTCAAAAGGGTCGCCACATTTTCAGCCATGGAATTTGATGGGTCAAAAGGCACTGAGTGTACCACTGGAGTGATAGGCGCATTCCTCGTCGTACACCCCAAATTTTTTCAAGCAGACTCTGACCTTCTCTTCAAGTTTTGCTCAAAAATGCCCCACCAGCTGAGGCATCTACAATGTTCTTCATGCTATCTGACAGTCCCATGTAAAACCGTTGTCCTAACATCTAATCTGGAATACCATGGTGTGGACATATAACTAACATTCCTTTAAACCGGCTCCATGTCTCATGCAGTGCCTCCATTGGTTTCTGTTTAAAGCTCACGATCTCATCAATTTGTTGAGCTGTTTTGTTGGGCAGGTGGAACTTGATGTGAAATTGCTTGACTAACTCATCCCAAGTTTCTATAGAGTTTATGGGGAGTGAGTTTATCCAGACCTGAGCAGCTCATGTCACCGATAATGGAAATAATAACAGTTTGATTGCTTCTGGAGTTATGTTGGGTTACCTTTGAGTTTTGCAAATCTTTCTCCAAGTGCTGTTGAGGATCTTCGGCTGGTGTCCCAGAAAATAGTCCCTTGTTTTGCAGCAAGTGCAGCATGTTGTTCGTGATCTGGAATGATTCAGCTTGTATCGCGGGCACAACAATGGCAGTGGCCAGATTGTCAGCTGTGGGTTGTGCCCAGTCATATAGTGCAGCCTCAGGCACAGGAGGTGTCATATCTCTGATGTTTTCGTTGACGTTGTCTACGTCACCCATGTCAATTTCGAGTGTGTGTGTTTGATGAGGTTGTTGAAGTCTTTTGTTGGCACGGTTCAATATCCGGAATGTTTTCTCGGGGTCTGAGAGTCCTTCAAGTAATTATCCAGTCCTCGTAGAGTTTATAGGCATACACTTGTGCAACCACGTCAACAACCGTCAAAATTTTCAATCAAAACTTAGTGTAGAGAAAACTGAGTATACTAAGAATTTTTGTATTTCTATCAATGACAATTGATAATTCCGTTAACTCCCCGGCAACAGCGCCAAAATTCCGCGACCTCTACATATTGTAGTATAGTGGTAAGTATTCCCTCCTGTCACGCGGGTGACCCGGGTTTGATCCCCGGCAACGGCGCCAAAATTTGATCACGCCCAACTATGCCTTATAAAAAGGACCATGCGGATGTTGCAAATATAACCTGAGTATTCTGCCCAGAGTCGAATCCACAGAGAGGTAACCTATCAATCACTATCTTTAGACCCACTATACTCTTGAGAGCTAATTTCCCCAAACGTTTGAATCGCAGTTGATGGTGTCTTTAATAACTAAAATTGCAAGTAAATAAACAGTTGTATTCTAAGGATGCTAAGGTTGTAAACAATAATGAGAAAACGCTAAGGTAATGACTTCCCCTATTGATGGAATCCCTTCTGTTTATGCTTCATACAAATTGACCAACACCTCTCTATCAACCATGAATGTTCATCTTACCGTAAATCTCTCCCGAGTAATCACAGTAATATACTCAATGCACTCTCCCGAGGTATACTAGCTAGCTCTAATTAACACGGTTCACTTTAAATTGCACTCAAGACTTCGTTATCCCTAATCCCGCCTTTAAACCCGCAGTTATAGATCCCTCTTATACTTTGGGAGTGGTGTTGTTCAACAATAACTTAAATATGTACTCTCTCCCGAGTTATGCACACTAAATAGGCACAGCTAATTGAGGATCCTGTCAATTAACTACAACATACACAAAGTTGAATAAATAGAGATTGAAACTAGCAATTTGTATTCACATAAACAAGAAGTTCATCCCCCAATAGGTTCCATCAAAACCTTAGACAACGGATTTAGCTACTCATAACTATGGGTAAACAAACTAAAACAATATTCATCATAAAACTTGCAAGAAAAATAAAGAAAATATGAAAGATGTTTTGGGTGATCTCTCACAATTGTTCTTCTTGCCAAAATACTCTCTAAAACAATACATGCCTCTCTTGGGCGAAGTCTAGTGTTTAAAATAGGATTTTGGGCTAAAAATCCCGTGTTTTGCACTTTAGTCCCTGAAATTCTCCGCCTCCGCCGCGGTTCTGCTGCGGTCACGGTCAAACCGCGGCCAAACTTGCTCTCTGATTCTCACTTTGTTTGTAGCCCTCTTCTACCGCGGTTCTGCTGCGGTCGCGGTAGAACCGCGACAGTACTCTTTCAGTTCTAACTTGAGCTGTTTCGCGTGGTTTACTTGACGGAATTTTATGATCGGCCTCGATTTCTCCATATTTGATAACAAAAGTACTCCATAGCCTTCTCTGGTCATATATAACCTGCAAAGCATAAAAAACACTAATAAGAGCATTTTGTTATCATTTTTATCATCCAAACTATACAAGAAGGTGGTTATTTAGGGCCTGATTATAGTTAAATTCACCTATTATCAGTTGGACTCGTAATTGAATGGGTGTTCGGGTTCTATACATTTTTTCGGGTTCCGAGGTGCGGTCCGTGGGAGTTGACTTTTGTTGACTTTTTGCAAATTGTATAAGGATCATAGCTTTGTTAATTGAAATTATTTTCTCTTGCATTGTTTGATGTATTTAAGTTTTATTTTGCTATATTGGGCCGAGCGATGGTGAATTGGTAAAGGTAAAGCTAAATTGAGTATTGAGTTGGCCGAATTGAGGTAAGTATCTTGCCTAACCTTATGGGGGGGAACCACCCCTTAGGAATTGAGTCAATTGTGCTATCTTGATATGTGAAAGTTGTGTATGCAAGGTGATGAGTGGGTACACAGTTTAGATGCGGTATTAACCGGTTAGATTGTCTTGTCTTTTTTCATGCCTTTGATTAAATTGTCATAATGTGCGGTATCTTGTTGATTAGGCTATACTTACATGCTCTATATGATGTTGTTAGCATTTATTTATCTCCTGCTTGTTGTTTGGCTTTATTTGCCTTAGTTGAAGTTATTGTCTTTCTTGTTATTTTGTTACTACTTAGTTGTGAGTTCCTCTACGACTCTGTGCATATATGCTACTTGTCTAAATTGTTGTAATTACCTATGTAATTATCATGTGCCTTACATATCTTGTTGTTTTTGTAAAGGTTGTTGTATTCCTTTTATTTTTACGTGATTCTCTTGTTGTCGTGTACTCATACTTGTTGTTGTTGATTTAAGCTTTTGTCTGGGGGGGATTAGGTTGCACACCGCAACAAGAGAAATAAGGGTGATATATTGAGGAACAATAATGGAGAATTGATATTTTCTGGTGGGATCGGGTTGCACACCGCAATATGAGAAATAAGGGTGATATATTGAGGAGCAATAAGGGTAGACTGGTGGGATCAGGTTGTGCACCGCAAATATATATATATATATATATATATATATATATATGTATATATATATGTATGTATATATATATTATTTACTTTTATTGTAATTGTTACGGAGGAATAAGGGAGGATTGGAGGGATCGGGTTGTGCGCCGCAACATATATATACTATTTACTCTTATTGTAATTATTACGGAGGAATAAGGGAGGATTGGTGGGATCAGGATGTGCACCGCATCAATATATGTGCTTATGTATTCCTCTCTGATTGTGCAAGTTATTCGATAGTTTTACATTTCACTTAGGAATTGGTTATAGCTGGATACTGATAAGATCCTAGTTCATTTATTCAAGGCTTTGATAATTTGTATTGGGTAGCACGAGGATGCTGTTGTGCAAAGTGAGATAAAAATATGTGCGCACAAGGTGCCATGTGTGCTAAAGGTTTGGAAATTGAGGTTATGATGTGACACATCGAGGATTCGGAATTGTGTATCAGAAATGATGTGATTGATTGAGTTAACATCGCCTTCTTTATTCGAGCACATTTTTACTTGTTTGTGTCCCAGATATGTTGGTGTTAATTTACTTGGTTATCTTTCATTTCCATTCATGTTTTCCTTTATTGTCTCTACTGTTTGTAGTTTAATTTCTCTCTGTTGTTGATATTACTTTGTTATCTTTATCTTGATGGTTTATTATCACATCATGTTCAATTTATTTGAGTAGGTGTCTTGACTGTTCCTCGTCGCTACTCCACCGAGGTTAGTATTGATACTTACTGGGCACCGCTGTGATGTGCTCATACTACACTTTTGTATATTTTTGTACAGATTCAGGTATTTGATAGATAGTAGCTGCGCGGATCGTCGCGATGGAGACTCACTGTAAACCTGTTGCTGCATTCGCAGGCCTCGGAGTCACCTTCGTTTGTACTTATTTCCATTGTTTCCTTTTGTTCCGGAACAGTGATGTATTTATTATGTATAAATACTCCTAGAAAGGCTTATGACTTGCACTACCGATTTTGAGAATTGTAAGTGTTCAGAGTTATCTAATTTGAAGTTAATGAATATCAATGTTATTTCTGTTAGTGCTAGGCTTACCTAATTTATAGACTAGGTGTCATCACGACTCATTCGGATAAATTTTGGATCGTGACAAAATACCACTTCAACTTTAAAATATTTTTTTTACTTAAGTTTCAAATACTCACTTTTTTAACTTCAATAAAATAATCTCCCGATTGGTATAAAATTTTGAAAACCAAATACAGAAGATAATGAAATATGTGGGGCTACCTAAGACCAAATCACGTACTGGCTTTTATTGCTAATATATAGCTAAAGAAAGTATACTTAGTACTCCCTTAGTCCACGA